AAAACATTGGGAAATCAATTTCTCTTTTTCGTCTTTTGTTTTTTTCTTGTCTTTTTTTTTTTTTTTTCCCGGACCAACGCAAAAAAATTGCAAATTCATGGAAAAAAAAAAACAAAAGTCTTTTTTTTTCCCCGCAAACAAAAGAAAACGGAAACAAAACGCAAAAAAAGGAAACAAAACGACACGCCAGAACAAAACGGCAATATGAATGAAAACACAAAAACAAAAAATAAAAAAAAAGGGGGTCGAACACAAACCGAAACGAAAAGCGCATGTGTGTGTGTGTGTGTCTCAGTGGGTGGGTGAGTGAGTGAGTGTGTGTGTGTTTGTGGGCGGGCGGGCGGGCGGGCGGGCGAGTGAGTGGGTGTGTGTGGGTGGGTGGGTGGGCGGGCGGGCGTGTTTGTGTGCGTGAGTGAGTGAGTGCAGGCGGGCGGGCCCTCAAACTTTTCTTTTTTCCGTTTTCCTGCCCAAGGCCAAACCACATGCCCGTTGGGAAACAACACGCCCACGGGAAACAAAAAGAAAACGAACGACAAAACCACACGCCCACCAGGAAACAAAAAGAAAAGAAAAAACAAAAAGCAGGAAAAAAAAAAAGTGGACGCCGACCATGAAACAAAAAGAACAGCAAAAACGAAAAAAGTGGGAAACGACAGGCCGAAAATGAAAATGCTAAAAAAAAAGGGCCGGCCGCTTATCGACGGCAGCGGCTTCAAGATATTCCCTCACATCTATGTCCGCCGCTGCCCGGCCCCGTGGGCGCGCTCACTCGTTTAATTGCGCGCTGTGAACATTTCGGTACGCGCGCCTCTCTGCCCGCCCCCCCGCCCTCGATCGCCTCCATCCGCCGGCCCGCAACAAAACTTCACCCCCAAGTCCGGCGCGGAGCGGACCATGGACCTCCCCCCGCGGCCAATGCTGCTTAAGGGTTAGGATTATATTATTATTATTATTATTATTATTATTATTATTTTTATTTTTATTTTTAAACCACCGTCAAATATTTGTCATTTTGCAGCTTGAATAAAAGGCCCTAGGGCACGGTTCTTGTCGCACCGCGACACCTGTGGGACGTCCGGGGGACATCCACCAGCCGTTGCTGCATCGAAATCCGAGGGTAGCAAAATAAAGATGTTTGTATATTTAAAATTTGAGTTTTAATTTACTTTTTCTTGTTTTTTATTTTTTGGTGAATAACAGGATGTGGGGAAAAGAAATACCAAGTCCGTTTTTGATTGGTGGTTGTCGAAAACAGAAAAAAAAATCAAATACTCCAAGTCGTTCGTATTGACCGTGCTTTCTTTTCCGGTCAATAGAAAGCCCCTCGAGTACTTCATTTCTTTCTCAAAATGTAAGGACTTCACGCTTGAACATGGGAACCGTCACAGGAGGCAGTCCCGTCGGGCACACTAAGGGACTCCACTCCCTCTCTGTGGTACGTGAGACTCGGACTGCAATTGTCACGTAGCACTTGTCATAGGTGCACCCTCAGGCAATAAAGAAAGATGGAAGAAGTGAATCTGGCTACGTTCTGGGAGGGATACATTCATCCACTGTCCATTCTASGGTTCAAGAAGATGGCACAGCCTTTTGCAGCACTTCCAAAGGTCGGGCTCGTCCCCACCTTGGGACTTGAGAAGTCACCACTTTAATTTTCTTTTTTCTCTTTTCTTCGTTTTTCTGGAGTTTTCTTCGTTTTTCTGGAGTGTCGCAGGCGTGGCACTAGGCCATGAATCGTGTGCTAGTGGAACCGTGCCCTCGGGCTCGTCCAAGCAAAGAGGATTGAATTCAACGGCCGAATCTTGAAGTGTTTGTGGACAGGTGCAGATAAAGGATTGATCAGCTATTCTGCTTCTCTGCTTCAAACACAGCCAGATTCAGGCGCTTAGTCCAATCCCCCTTTGCATGGAAACATAGCCAGACACAGACGAATTAATGACCTAACGCAAAAAGAATCTAAATCGAATCTGGAGTTCGTCTGTACTTTGCGGAATTCGGAAAAAAAAAAAAAAAACTCTCTTTCCTTCAACTTTCTCAAAACGTTTGCTGCTCAAAAACTCTCTTTCGGGTGAGGTCCCGCTAGCAAAGACTGGGTTGGATAAATATCCCGAATCTGGACGTGTTATCAGCAGAGATGCAGAAAAGCAGTTCAATCTCGACATTCTGCACCTTTCAACAAACAAGTCCAGATTCAGGTGTTCAATCCAATCCTCTTTGCTAGTGGGACCTCGTCCCAGTAATTCCCCGGCGGGGCCATGTCCCACTAGGTAGCGGGGGGTTAGTTTATGTTTCCTGTATTTTTATTTTTCAACGTGGTCACACCGTGGCCATGGATTTTTCAGATCGCATGGCAGGGAGCCCTGCATACTTGAAACCAGAACTAAACCTCCACAAGTGGTGCATGGCCCCCAGTGCCAAGTCCCACTTGCTCGCCAAGTCCCACTTGGTGACCAAGTCCCACTTCCTCGCAGCCCTCGTGTCTAACCGTAGATTGCAGAGATCGACGGTCGAGATTAAGAATTTCGCCCACCCTCACTTCAGAATCTTTGTTTATAATTCAAATAATAAAAATAAAACGTGGATGAATTTTATTGTTAAAAAAACAAACAAAAAACAAGGGGGTTGCTTCAACTGGCCGCTTGGTGGACTGAAGGCCAAGGGCCTCGCTCCGCTAGTCTCGACATGCACAAAAGACATGCACAAAAGACAGAAATCATGGCGGTGTATCTATCCATGCTGTAGGGGAAGATTCACTCTCCACTTTTCGAGAGTAGTGGAGCGACGCCCCAAATCTGTAGTGAAGCCACGCCCCAAATCTGTCATAAGAAAGAAGAGCGGGGTTCCATAATGGCAGCCATTAATTTGTGGACAAAAAAGGAAAAGTTCAGCTGATTTTCTTGGGCGGAAAAATTCTTTCTTTTGCGAGAATTTCATTCCCAAAAAAAAAAAGAAAAAACAAAAGAGAGAAAATGTGAAAAGTCCTCACACCATGTATCTGGCTAGAGCTGAGTCGACAAAGTCCTAGCGCGAGTATGCCCTCATACCTAAAAATGTTTCCTTTTTTCAGTGAGCAATCATATCAGATTGTGTCTTTGGGGCTCGCTCCACTACTCACCAAATGTGCAAAATGAGAATTAATCTTCCGCTAGAATATGGGAAGATACACCATCAGCACATATGTTTGGTCATTCTTGTGCATGTGCATGTGGCGAGTAGTGGAGCTGATCTCGAAATGGCAAAACGAGAGTTTTGGGCCTCGCTCTACACCTTTTTTTTTTTTTTTTTTTTTTTTTTT